GTCTGAGCTTACAAATGCACCACCATCAGGGTAAAGCCTCACTGAACGCTCGCTCATGAAATGGTGCTTCCTCACCCAGACCACCCTGGAAGGCAAGAAACAGCCAGATCCCGTGCCTGTACACAGCCAGGGGAGCCAGGCACTCCTGCAGCACGGGCACACCATGGTGCTAGTAGAAGGCTTGTCCCTCCGGACTCCAGGAAGAAGAGACAAGAGCTTTTCCAGCTGCAGTGGCTGTGGCACTCAAAATGATGTAACGATACAAACCATGGACAAGGCCAGATTTCCTTCTCCCCAAGGCAGTGTGCACATTTCCCTCTCTGCATCCCTTTTTCCCTGTGTGCTTCCCAAACTAGGGCCCAGGCTTGTTCTGGCTGAGGCTTATGTATCACCCCATGGCAACAGGGCCAGAGGTACTCCCACAGAGATGAGGACCACAGAGATGAGGACTTCATCTGCAAGGGTGGTGACTGGAAAACATAGGTATTTTCCAGACCTGAGCCAAGATGTGCTCCTGAACTCACAAGGGCTGAGCCTAGAGGCTTCCCAGAGCATCCAAGCATCTCTAGGGTGAAACCATCCCCCATAGCACAGGTGAAGGGTCTCAGGGAACACCTGAAGGACTTGGGGAGCCCTCCAAGTTCTGACTTGTCTCCAGGAGGTCACTTTGTGGTGGGTATGGCACATCATGCTGTGGCACAGCAGGATGGTTCCTGTCGGTTTCATGAGCGCTCCCATGTGCAATGGGCAGCCACAAGCAATTTGGGGGTAAGGGTATCAGGCTGACAGCTATGCAACAAAAAGCAGACAAGAAGCAGGAGAGGCAATACATCAAATGCACAGACACACAAACTCCACCAAGAGGATAACAGAGACAAAAGCAAAGCCCAGCGCTCTCAGAATCGGTGGGCCGCTGAGAGAAACACTCAAAAATAATGAAATGGTTCAGCCAGAACTTTGGAATGAATAACAAGGAAAAACAAGATTATCATGGGTCTCATGGGAGAAAAGCAAACTTATTCTGCAATATTTGAGAGTGATTGTGGGAGTGTGCAGAGCTTCTTAAGGGTTGTTTTGGAGAAAGTCAAGGGCAGAGGAAGAGAGGGATCCAGGGGGATCAGGGAGGCACAGGCATGGGAAAAAGGAAAGAAATGGGGGGATTAAAAGGGGCTGAGTGTGTTTAAGCAGCCTGCACATTGGTCTGCCTGATCACTGCAGCCTATCCTGTCCTTTTATTGAACTCTATTCTGAACAATCTGCTCTTTGACCTTGCTGTCCAACCTGTGCTGTGTGTGTGTCTGTCTGTGCTTATTGGGAATTCAGGCTTGTGCTTGTCTGGGGCGAGGGGTCCTGGCAGTGAGCCCTGGGGCATGGGTAGGGATGGGGGCAGTGGACAGGGATTTGCAGAGTGGAGATATGGAGGAGGAAGGGGAGTTGGGGGGGCAGGGGGTTATAGGGGACAGCAAATGGGGCTTGCAGAGGAACACATGGAGGTGTGGGAGGCAGTGGCTGGGGGTGCACAGGGGACAGCGGGTGCAGGCCTGGGGCCAGGGAGGGGACTGTCCAGTTTCTTCGGGATGTATAGGAGTGAGAGAAAAGCTGCATGCAACTCCCAAATCCCCCTCACCATGCCCTTCCACAGGACTGGGATGTGGCTAATCTCATACTATTCTTAGTGAGCATGTTTGGCCTCCACCTCATTGCACAGCAGAGACTCCTTGCTATGAAGCTAATAAAATAGGGTTGGTTCCCAACAGGAAAAGCTCTGACTGAGCTGAGCTTCCCCTCTTCCCAAGGGAATGGGTGAGATGTGCAATCCCATCTCTCTCTCCTGGCCTATCTTTGGACCATTCACAGGGTCAGGGGGTCTCCAGGGTCCATTCCCTTTCAGAGCGAGCGTCCCTCAAGCTCTCATCTGAGCGCCTCCGTGGGAGCAGGATGCTCCTCCCACAGCAAAGCGATGAGTCCCAGAATTGGGGGGAAAAGCAAGTGGGATGGCCCCACAAAAGAGATGTCTTTTTTTAACCTTTTAAAGCAGCTTTATTTAAACCCCCAAAACAATGACCCTCCCCCTCTGCAGGCGGTGGGCTGGAGACACCTCCCCTAATCCTCCTCCCACAAGCAATGCAGGCCTGCCCAGCGCTGTGGGGCAGGAGCTTTCCAAGTTTTTGACAGAGGCTGAACTTGCTGTTTCCTTAACATGTCTTGCTATAAATGGGGTCTTGTAGTTTATCTTCCTTGACCCATTTCTCTTGTATCCTCACAGACATCTCTGTTCCTGAGGCTACAGTGAGCAGGAGAGTGCACTGAGGCTCCCTGCCACTCACATGGCTGCCTGGGACCCTGGGGTGGCTGACTGCAGCTGGGCCTCCCTGTGCAGCAGGCCAGGCAGAGAAAGATAGGAGCAGTGGGGGGAAGGCCATGCAGGGATGACATGGTAACTGCTCCTGCAGTGGGGACAAGCTGAGGAGTGAGAGCGTGTACAGTTGCTCCTGAAAGGCCCTGTTGCAGAAGTGCCTGTGCCTGTGAGAGGGGAGGTGCGCGGCATCACTGCCTCCACCACTCACCTGCACAGAGGGCCAGCTGGCTCGCTTGCCGTGAGTGCTTGCCATGTGCTTGCATGCAGACCTCTGCTGCCATCACAGCACAGGTGCCCCTGTCAGCCCACTCAAGGATTACCTCAGGGCAGATTCACTCCTCAGCCCTGAAGCACTGGCCTTTGCATTCCACTCCCTCTGGATGATATATTTCCAGTGGTGGAAGCACATGCAACTGAAAAGCAAAAGGCTGCCAACCCTGAGGCTCCCACAGGAGACAGACAGCCAACCTAGAAAGGCTGACAGAGCAGTGAGGGCCTATCAGCTTGCTAGTGCCCCCCTCATACGTGCTTCAGAGAGGTGCTGGAATGAGCCATATTTTGTCCGTGAGTAGTATCAGGAGAGAGCTGACATTTTAAAAACATAAAGGTCTGAAGCAAAGTACCAGCTCAAGAGCTCTCAGACACATCAAGATAGGAAGACAGCGAGGGAAGGTGTCCTTAGTAGCATCAACAGCAATCAAATACACTGGAATAAACTGCGAAGGATGAGATATGGCTGCAGCATCCATCTGTGATGCTGGTCTTAGTATCAAAGTAGAGGAAGTCAAGATGGCAAAGTGGCTTATAAAGATGACTCTTTGCCTCACTGTTTTGGATTTTGCTTGGGTGATGTGTGTCTGGGTTCAAGAGCAGAAGAGCTGAGGTCAGTAGAAAAGGACCTGCTCCTAGGACAGAGGTGCTGGAAGTCAGAAACAGGCTATGGCTCTCCCATAGGTCTCTGAGTTGGGGGGGCAACCATCACTGCTCTGCACAAACGGCTGAAGGTCTGTTCTCAGGGACAGAAGTGGACAGGCCTTGCTGGTTAAATGCTTCCTACATGATGAGTAGGCTTTAACTCCTCTCATAGAGTCACAGTCTAATGTCTGTGCTGAACGTCTCTGCACAAGAGACTTCCTAAAACGAATTCTGCATTTAGGATAAGGAGGACTGCAGATGTGAAGAGCTATTCCTGTGTGGAAGACTTGCTGTTAGATATGCTCTGGGTGGGCATTTACCTTCCTCAGTTATGTGGAGTGAGTAGAAGGTGCACAAGGCAGCACCAAGTCCTGCTACAGAAACCTGAAGCTCAGTCAGTGCAGTAGGGGGATAATAACTGCTAGTTCCACTGCTAGACTAGCTCTCAGTGGCAGTGCTGAGGAGTGAGCAGGCAGAGATTTGAGGTCAGTTTGTCATAAGCAGGCTGAGATAGTCCTGATGGTACAGCACAAAGATTACAAAGGGTTAATGTGGTTGGGAAGTCATGGCTGGAGGACATCCTGGGTGCTTTTACTAGGAAGTCTAGGAGCCAGGCAGTTCATCCCATGGTATCTGTGTGCATATGAGCGCAGGAATGTTGGGCATGTGAAAGAGCAGGAAAGAGCACTATCCCTGTGCAACAGGGCATACAGAGAAGGGTATTTAGGGGTGGAAGAGAGACTACTAGAGCACAGGAGAGGAAGCTGAGTCCATCATGTGAATGTTCTGCTTAGTTTTGCTGTCATGTGATAGCCACAGAGATGGGAATAGAGACTTGTAAATGTCATATAAAATAAGAGAAGTGCCCTAGCTGAAAATAACAAAGTCAGAAAAGGTGGAAAGCAAATTACAGTAACTATAAATATCAGCTTTAATGCTAGGGGCTTTGGTGAGAAGTGGTTTTGACTGACTAATGATTTCAGGAGAAATCAGCAGGTAAGGACTATTAAGAGAGCCAAAACAGGATCAGCTCCCAAGTACTGGTTTTAAGTGGTTTTCTGGGATAGTAAGAACAGGCGTTGTCACCATAGGTTTGTGGTGTTGATTAGGAAGCTGAAGGTGGTGGTATAAGCTCATACGTGGTGAGAGGAAGGTAGGAGAGAGTCACTAGGAGAAGTATAAGAATTGGGATTTTTCTCACTGTAGGAGCTTTAAGTTGTGTCAAGGGTCAGAGCCATGTGTTCTTACTGAGGCCAAGAACAGGGCTAGACCTCTGTCAGTTTCCCAAGATGAGAAGGCAAGTATGGGGAGGAATGTCAGTATGGAATGGGGTGTCAGTTGGTTAAAGTGAGAGGGCAATCAATAAGATAGGGTTAGGTTGTCTACATAGGGTAGGGCTGAAGCCAGATGTGTTTGAAGGAATGTGTACAGAAAGGTTTAGTTGCAATATTGGTTCGGGATATGGTAACAGATACCAAAACTAGAAGTTTAAGGCTAACTAGTTTCCTGGGAAATTACAGAATAATAATAGAGACAAACAAATATTACTATGTATTACCAAATATTACCATGCAAGCACCTGAAGGGAAGGTGTCAAGAGGATGGGGCCAGACTCTTCTCAGTGGTGCCCAGTGATAGGATGAGAGGCAGCAGGCACAAACTGAAACACAGGAAGTTCCGTCTGAACATGAGGAAAAACTGTTTTACTGTGAGGATGACTGAGCACTGGAAGAGGCTGCCCAGAGAGGTTGTGGAGTGTTGTTCCTTGGAGATATTCAAAAGCTGCCTGGACACAATTCTGGACAACATGGTCTAGGTGAACCTGCTTGAGCAGGGGAGTTGGACTAGATGATCTCCAGAGGTCCCTTCCAACCTCAACCATTCTGTGATTCTGTGATGATGATTCCAGTCGAAACGACAATAAACCCAGCTATCCAGTAATAGTGAGCTAAGGTAGGTGCACAGCTACTTACAAAACCATAGATACCAGGCAAGTTTGCAGGAACCAGAGCATGGTTTCTTCAGGCAAGCAACTCAATCACCTGACCAGCTCAGGAAATTCCCCAGTCAGATCAGTCCCATTTTATTTGTTAAGTCATGTAAGCACTGTCTAGACTCATCAGCCCAGTATCACCTTGTTATCCTTCAGTGCATTTTCCTTCCTGGGGTTTTGCAATTCTTTGTGCACACAGTCCTTTGTCATCCTTTGGTTATCAGGTAGACTATGATTACAGCATGAGGCAATATTAGCCTAGAGTTGCCTTTCAGAACAGTAGTGCAATACTGCTGACAATAAAAGCTGAGGAAGAGCTGAGTGTGATGGGAACCTAAAGGGAGTCATAATGTGTAGTTGTTACCAGCAAAGCCAAAATCTGGTGCCGTGGTTTAGCTGACTTTCTTTTATTTTACTCATGCTGAGCCCCCAGGAATCATTGCTAGAGAGGCTGAGTGTAAACAGCACTAGAATAACAGACATTGATAATGGGGTTGTAAGGGGAGAGTGTGGACTCACAGAATAGTATAGGTCAGTAAGGTCATCTGGAGGTCTGTGGTCCAACCCCTGCTAGTTTTGATGTTACATCCAGTTTCTCAGGGCCATGTGCAGGTGAGCTTTCAATAGCTCCAAGAAAGAGATTCCCCAGATCTTTTCTGGACCTCTGTTCTGATGTTTGATCTCTTCAGTATGATTTTTTTCCCCCCAATATCCAGTTGGGATTTTACTTGATGCAACTTGTGTCTGTTGCCTGAGGGCCTTTTGCTGTGCACCTCAGAGAAGAGTCCAGTTCCATCTTCTCTGTAACCGTGTAATCACCCATAAGGTAGCTGAGGACAGGAAGAAAGATTCACCCTGCAGCCCTCACTTCTCCAGACTGAACAAAACCATCTTTCAGCCTCTTGAGCGGGGTAACTCAGATGTAAGAGGAAGACAATTTTATTTCCTTCCATATAAGTTTTCATCTTGTCCTCCTCACCATAATATCTGGAGACTGATTTGTATTAAACTATGTGATCAAGATTTCCCACAAGTAGGGAGTTTTTGTCTGTTGGATGGTGGTACCTTGCCCAAGGTACCTTCCCTTTGCCCAAGATTTGACCAGGCAAATTGGTAAACAAAAGCCTATAAACACTCAAAATTACGATGTATTTGTCATAATAGATCATGGGTGAAACAGTTCCTCTATCTGGAAGGAGGAGGAGGGGAGAGATGGTATGAAAAAAAGATACTGGGAATTGAGCTTTTGCTTGGGGCAGGAAGGAACATTTTTTTGCTGTCAAGAGTTGATTTCAAAAACACCTACAGAAACATTTGACTTACAGTAGCCACGTTTTCTGTTAGAAGAATGGACCGAGATTGGAGAAAGGCTCCCACTCTTTCAAAAATGAGCATTTTTCCTAGATACCATGGGCAGAGCCGGTAAGCATCTGGATATCGAAACATACTCCAAGATTTATTTGCAGTGTCCATAGCTGATGCCAGACATTGACTGTAACAGGGAAAAGGCGTGTTTGGGGAAAAAAAAATTAAAATTAAAGGAGAGAGGGAGAGAAGGGCTTTCCTGTACACCATGCCCAGTGTATAGCAACAGGCCTTTCAGAGAAGTGTCCCCTCACAGGAATCCTTTCTGCTGCAGCAGCAGGTTCCTCCAAACACTTCTATATAGCAACTACTCAGGCTGCTCTGGGTTCCTCTATGGGCAGTACTGGAGGCAGAGGTACAGCAATGCCTTCATCCACTTCACAGCAGGCAGCTGCCACAAGACTGCCAGGCTCTGATCCACATCACCCTTCATCTCCTCCAGTGTTGGGCTATGCCAGTCCTGCTGTGGCTTTCCCTCTTTCTCTGGCCCCATAGCCTTCTGCGGTCTCTCCCTCCAGCCCTGGCCCTGGCTCCAGCACCATGGCCTCCTATGGCTCTGGTGCAGCATCTGCCAGTGCCACATCATTCTCCTCCAGGACACTGGCCACATCCTGAGGCTCCTGGCACACCAGCATCTCCCGCAGCACAGACAAGGCAGGTGCCGCCAGCTGCCCTCCCAGAAGTTCATTAATCACCTGCACTAGCATCTCCAGGGCCCTCAGATGGTGCCGGTCCAGCCTCGTCTCTGCATGCCGCAGGTAGATAAGCCGCCGGGCACCACCAGCCAGGCACACATGGACGGCCCGTGACTGGGAGCTGCCCTCCACCTTTGCACCACAATGGACCAGCACAGTGCGGATGTCCTCACAGCACTGCACTTCCAACTGTTCTACTGTAAAGCCACTGGACTCCTCCATTCTCATCATCCCCCTGTGGCTCTGCCACTGGAGCAGGGCCTCCAGTCCCATCCTGAACCATGGGGATACCAGGAGGGTCTGTAGACGCTTCTGTTCCTGGCAGTGGGGACCGTAGCGGCATGGCTGCAGGCTGCCCTCCTCCAGTCGTTGCTCCAGCACCTCTGAGAGTGCCCGTGGCCGCAGGCGCTGGGGCAACTTTTGCAGGAGGTGCCAGTTGAACCCAGTCCTGGGCAGTTCAGCCATGAAAACAAAGGTCTTCCTCAAAGCCCAGTAGGTTCTTGAGGACACACAGTCATTGAAGAAGAGCTTGTGGGATGGCTCTAGGCAGTCAGCAGTGCTCAGCAAGTACAACTCAGGCACAGCAGAAAAATCAGGGGGCACTGGTGTCTCCTGTAGCAGCTGGAAGAGGTGCCATGTGGCCAGCAGGACTGTTTTCTTCTGAATGGCATGGAGGGTCCCCTTGGCTTGGCTGTCCTGGTAGATTTGGGCCAAGACATGGCTGTAGTGGGCCAGTGTGGGGCATGGGGCCACCCCAAGGTGCTTCAGAAGGTCTCTGTAGAAGGCCATGAGGGGGTCAGGCACGAGGAGATAGGGATGAAAGTCAACCTCATCTGGGAGTGATGTTACCACTTGCTGTGGTGTGGCCATGCCCCCCATCTTGGTCAGCACCACAGGCAGCTCAGCGAGCCGCCCTGCATCCACCTCCTTCAGCCGGCTCTGCAAGAAGTTGTACATCTTCTGGAGAACCTTGGTCCGTGTGTCCATCTGCTCTGGTGTCCAGCAGGCTGCTCTGCACACCTGCTCCAGGTTGGCCACCACCAGGGCAGTGGGTATCTCCACAAGGACTCCTATAGCCTTCAGGAGGCCCAGCTTCTTCTCAGGTATGTCAGACAATGGCAGGATAGTGGCTGATGTCCACAGGAGCTCAGCCACATCTTGGAAGTCATAGTAAACACTGCCCTTCAGGGTCACAGGCTGTGTGCAGGCTGCAAAGGGAGGGTGGAGCTCCCTCAAGCATTGGGGCACTGCCAGTGGAGACAGGAAGTGGATGGAGGCAATTTGCTCCAGGAAACCCTTTGGCAACGGGGTGTCTAACAGGATGACAAGTTGTTTGAACATCTCCTCTTGTCGCTGGGGCAGTTCTTCAGCACGGCCCTCGGTCTGGGAGGCTTCACGCTCTATCTCCAGGGCCAGTACCACAAAGTCTTCTGCAGAGAGGCTGGTGCGGACACCTGCCTGGAGCATGAAGGTCCTAGCAGCTGCCTGGTTGGCACCCAGCGCCTTGAAGAAGAACTCAGGCACAAAGCGGTGCTGGAGCTGTAGCGTGCAGAGGGAAGGACTGTTATCATAGAAGTAGGATGCCTGGTGCAGCGTGCCATGGGAATCAGGTATGAAGGCCACAGTCTGAAAGGCTGCCACGGCATCCTGCCCGAATTCACCCTCATAGGCGTGTTGCAAGGTTAAGAACAGCTGCACAGCATTCACAAGCTCTAGCGCTGTGAGCTGGGGCAGCCGGGGAAGCACCACAGTCATGAAAAGCTGCCGGTCATCTGTGGCCTCCCATCCTAAATGCCTGGCAAGCTGCTGGTGGATCAGGTCTTCTTTGAGCAACAACATGTCCTTTTCCAGGCTGTACAGGGCTTGGGCACCTGGAGGCATTTTTGGGAACTGGCTGTTGAACATCATCACCTTGCGGTAGGGTGCCACAGCCACGTGGTCTCCACTATGGTTCTGGAATAGAGGCAGGTGCCGGAGATGCTCCAGTGCCTGCCAGTCCAGCCTCTCCTGAGTGAAGAAGCGCAGCAGGACAGTCACCTCGAATGCTTCTAGGTCCCTCCAGCAGAGATCAGCAACGGTGTTTGCCAGCCAGGCCAGCACAGCCGTGGGCTTCGTGGCCTGCAGGGCCCGTGGCTTGAGGCAGTGGTAAGCAAAGTGAAAGGGCAGCAGAAATTTCTGGAGCACAGGGATGCCCAGCTTGTGCAGTACCTTGGCTACATCCCTGTCACAATCATAGAGAACATTGGGGAGGGAGGACAGTGGCACCAAAGTGCACTTTGAGTCTTTGTCATGTCTTTGCACAGGCAGCAACACTGCATCTTGGAGATGGTCTATGAATGCGTTCATGGCTGCCTCCAACTTCTCCTTGTTGGCCTGTGTGGCCTTGTAGATCACAGCGTCAAAGAAATCCCATAGCCCCTTCAGCCACTTCTGCCCCTCTGTGGTCCAGTCCAGCTGTCCTAGTGCCTCCTGGATGAGTGGCGTGGCCTCTGGGAGGCCAAGGTCCTGCACAAAGCCAGGCGGGGCCATGACAGCCACAAGGCTGTTGGCAAAGCTGTGGCTGTGGTGGGGAAAGAGGTAGGCAAAGGAGCTGCATAAGACTGGCTGGTGTGTGCTGAGAGCACGTAGACAGCCATCTTGCATGGCCAGCAAGGGTAGACCCTCCAGCTCTGTCCTGACGTCCTCTGTGGGCTCCAGGCAGTGTTGCAGCAGGATGGAGCAGCTTTTCGGGGTCCTCAGGGGTGTCTCGGCAAGCAGGCAAGGCAAAGGGAGTGCCAGGGCCTTGAGGAAGCACCGGAGAGAAGCTGGCTGCAAAGCCACAGCTGCCACACCAGCTGCCCTAAGCTCCTGGTAGATCTGCCACAGGTGAGCGAATGCTGGCACCAAGTTCATGTCCAAGTGCTGCAGCACATCCCGGAGAGGTGACTCAGGCTCCCTCTCAAGGAAATATGGTTCTGTCAGTGCATCCCTGCCACCTGGAGATGCCCAGGCCATTGTTACCATTGTGTCAGGTAGCTTCACATGGCATACGGGCACCAAGGGCAGGCGTGTGTGGCTGAGGTGCCTGTAGATGTCCCTCACCAGCTCATGCCAGGTAGGTGGCACACTGTTTGTCACAGCAGGGAAGAACCGGAGGTAGCAGGGAGTCAGGTGCTGCTGGCAGACATTCAAGGAGCTGAACTGGAGCTGTTCAGGCCCCAGGGCTCTCCACTGCTTGGTGAGGAAGGTACAGTAGACTGGGGCCACCAAGCACCGGAGCAAGAAGCCATTCCAGGCTGCTTCAGTGCTGCCCGGGTCCTGGTGGAAGCCACGTCGGGCTGCATCCACAGAGAAGTTGGCATTAATGTGCACAGGCAGCCCTGTGGTCAGTGGCAGTGGGAGGGTGCAGAAAGCTTTGCCCATGGGATTTTCCAAGGCCAGTGGCTTCAGGCAGGCGGCCACAGCTCCATACGGCATCCGCCCAGGCACAGGAGACTCCTCAGCCCCCTTCTGCACCCCAATTTGGGCAGTCACCCTCCAGACAGTACTGGCCGTGGCCTTGCTTGTTTTGACCTTCATGATGTAGGATACAGAGATGGGGCCATCGCCATCCACAGCATGGCTCAGTCTGGCTTGGAAACCCCGTCTCAGCTCTGCATCTTCCTCTGCCAGCTCTATGGCCACCTGTAGCCTCTTGACCAATGGTCCCCCATCCATGGGGATCTCGGAGAAGATCACAGTGTGCAGGTGCCGGAGGAAAAGTACCAAGTCACCACCTTCCTCAACTAGTGTTGTCTGCATGGCCACAAGGTCTTGGTCCCGCACAACCATGCCAGACACCTTGGAGCTGGTAGCCCCAGCTGCAGTGCGGAGGGGCAGCCGAAAAAGGACACCCTGGCTCAGGTCAAAGAGGGAGGGCAGGAAGGTGCCATAGACATCTGGGAAGGTCCTCTTAAATTCAGGGTTGACAGCAAACATCCCGCCAGGGCTCTCAGTTGTGGCTCCAGGCACGTAGGTGAGGTGGGGATCAAAGACACACAGGGCGCTGTCTCCAGTAAGGAAGGCTGGGCAGTCGGTAAGGTGGAAGACAGTGTTGAAGCCAAGGCCAAATTTGCCTGTAACATCCTGCCGGCCCTGCTTGCCACCCACCCCCAGACGTTGGATGCCTTCAATGTCTTGCTGCTGGAGGGGACTGTCATTGTAGATGCAGAGCGCAGGGCCTTGCAGAGTGTTCCAGGCCTCACTGAAGGTGGCATCCACTGGGTGCTGCCGGCGATCCCACACGAAGTGCACAGTCCCTGCACCAGCATCATCCGCGTTCTGGAGCAGCTCCATCACCACATCACGAGTGGATGCTGGGTACTCGCCCAAGATGTTCTTCAGCCGTGTGGGCAGGTCTTCACGGGCTCCGAATGGCTGTGCCCAGAGACTCAGATTTGCCGTCAGCAGCCGGCTCTTCTCCAGTGCCTGATGACGTGTGGTAGGCACCCCGCAGCGCAGGGCTGTGGCCCAGGCCAGCTGTTCATGGCATAGCATGGCCCCTTTGCCCACTGGCAGCCACGGCGTGTCATTGAAGTGGAGTTTGTCCCGCGGACGCAAAATACCCTCATGGTCAGGCAGAAAGAGTTGCTGGGTCTGATAGGCATCTGGCTCTTCACCATCTGTCATCAAGCCACAGGATATCAGCCGCAAGGCCAGGGCCAGCTCTGGGGCAGGCAGGGGCTCTCCAGCATGCTTCTCAGCCAGGATGCGAAGCACCCGGGCATAATCGCTCCAGGTGAATGTGTGGCGCAGCCCCACACACTCCCAGAGTTGGCTGTAGGGCCGGTACTGCGCCGGAAGCTGGTAAAGATATGGGACAGCCTCAAATGGCAGAGTCTCTGCCACAGCTGTGGCTGGCACGAAGTGGGAGTCCACCAAGATGAAGGGCTCCCCTTGGGCCACTGCAGCAGCCACCTCGCCCCAGCTGGTGTGCTCTCTCTTGAGCAGCGTATCCAGGTAAGCATAGCAGCAGTGGGTGGTGTCCTGGAGGCTCTCAGCAGG